TCCTTTGTTTGGTGCCCTGAGCCCTTTGGCTGGACAGGAAGGGACATGGGGAAACGCTATTTAAAAGCTGTCGGAACTAGACTGACCCCTTGTGGCTGGGGTCCCTAACAACTAATTGGTGTTTTAATTCGTTTAAATCATTGCTCTGGGGAGGAGGGGATTGTTTGCAGGCTGCCCTGGGGGGAGAGGACAGCCCGAGCCCTCTCCCTCCGCAGCAGCTTGGGGCCAGGTGAGAAGTGCCTCTCCGTGGGTGCTGCAGCTCCAGTGGGCACTGCCAGGGGAGGGCTGCATGTCCCCCGGCTGGGGCAGGTCCAGGCTTGTCTGCCCCATGCCCTGCCCAGCCACAGGGAGGCATGCAGCAAACTGGGCACTTTCCCCTCGCTCCCTGAGGAAGGGGAACAGCCAGCGGTCCCCCTATGAATCAGGGCAGGGGAGCTGCAAGGGGGTGGGAGGCTCGGGGCTGGGACAGTCCCGGTTGGCAAGAGGGCCCAGCCAGCCCTTTCACCTGCCTGGTGATTCTGTCTCTTTCCTGTACGGTTTTATGCATCTTCATACGAATTGTGGGGAAGGGGGGGGAGCTTCAGCCATCTCCACCCTCTGCCCCCTCCCCCCCCCCACACACAACCAAACCCTGACCCTGAGTTAAGTTAGGAGAAGAGGAAGCTGCCTGCCAAATTTGGTGGTTCTAGTTCTTACCGTTTAGGGGGCGTTCTTAAACAAACGGACTCGCTCTCTCAAATGTATCGCGGATTATTGGGGCTTTGGTATTGTTAGACATTTTGAAGCAAGCAAACTAAGGCTGTGATGTAGTAAAAAAACGAAAATAGAAGTTAAAGATATAAGTGACTGGAAGAAAATGGTCCACATTAATATAAATTAAATGTAGCATTTTTAAATAGCAAATTAAATATGAAATGCACCATCTGTGCTGTAGCACTGTTCCTGTCAGGCACCGAATGGCAGGGCAGCCCAACATGACAAATGCTTTCTCACTGCGCAGTCCCCCTATAATGTTTCATATCTCGCTATAAACCGCAGGGAAGAGGTGGGGATGGGCAGAGTGGAATATTCCGTAACAGATTTAGCATACTGAACCGAGACGGGATTGGTGGGTCACTGGAAACAGAGTCGAGTGGCAACGAGATTTTTATTATTATTATTTTGAAGAAAAGGGTTTATCCTCACAGCGACTCTTGTGTTCCCAGGGTTCCTGGGTCCTACAGATAATCAAAAAAGAAACTTCCAAAAGGCCGTGCTGCTGCCCATTCCTGTGGCTCTGGTTCTGCAGCCATGGGCTATGTAAAAAGCCACTGAGTTACAGGTTTCAATCCCACGTCTCTTCTAGTATCTATTGCAGCGGTGGCCAATCATTTTTGATGGGAGGGGGCATTCCAAGAATGTGTGGAAAGTGATTGAGGGCCGCACACTCCCATGCTATTAATGGAGGAGGTGCAGGGTCTGGGATGGAGGTTGGGTGCAGAGGGAGCTTGGGGTAAGGGAGGGAATTTGGGTGAAGGAGGCAGTTGTGCCCTGGGGCACTGGACTGGGGTGCCGGGGGTTGGATTGTGACCTAGGGCAGGGAATGGGGTGCAGAAGGGGGTGCAGGGATTTGGGTTGTGAGCTAGGACAGGAGGGAACTGGGATCTGGGGCAGGGGATTGGGGTGTCGGAGAAGGACAGAGGATTTGGGTATGTGGAGTAGGGGGCAGGAGTGGGGGGGGGCAAAGGGTCCTGGGGCACTGGACTGGGGTGCCGGGGGTTGGATTGTGACCTAGGGCAGGGAATGGGGTGCAGAAGGGGGTGCAGGGATTTGGGTTGTGAGCTAGGACAGGAGGGAACTGGGATCTGGGGCAGGGGATTGGGGTGTCGGAGAAGGACAGAGGATTTGGGTATGTGGAGTAGGGGGCAGGAGTGGGGGGGGGCAAAGGGTTGGGGAAGG